TCCCCCTTTGGCATTTTGTGACAAAATTACAATCAATGTCAAGGCAGTAGTAAATTAAAATTATAGACTCGAATCAACTGACACAACCAACAACTGTCTTAAACAAATTCTGCATTTCATTTTTCAATACCTGTTTCCTGAAATAGACAACTCAAATACCAGTGTAAAATGTATATGAAACAGTATTAAGTGTAAAAGTGATTTAAGCAGTTAATAACTCATAATACAACTTTTTAGTTTCATATCATATGTTAAATTAAGATTTAATATCAATGCAATCCAACATACCAAAATGAAACATTGATATTATTAAAACATTAAAACTTAATCTAGCAAAAACTGAAAAATATATTATATAATCAGAATCAAATGTTTTAGATACATCAAGTAGATAAAAATATATACATCTTATCAAAATATCTAGACATCTACTCCCTCTTTTTGTCACAAAATGTCAAGGGAAAATCCAAAAACTAATTTGGACCGGCTGCATCGTCAGAATCAATCCTCTCCTCCGAAGCAGCATCATCATCCCAGTGACGATGAATCCATCATAGCCCACACTGAACATATCCAACAGTACCCCAAAGCGTAGCAAACTCGGTAGTATGTCGATCAACTGTAGTCTGTAGCCGTGTAAGCTTTGCTATCATCCGAGCCTGCTGCTCAATCAGTATGGTCATCTACCCCATAAGAGCAACAGACGGGTCAATGGGAACAGATGTAGAAGGTGGAACAGACCCGAAATGAGGATGAGCAAACGCGGATGTCGAGGGAATATCAGCGGGCGGAGGAGCAGAGGAAGTATGAGAGAAATCGGATGGATCAAAAGAGATAAGATCATCAAAAGGATCAGCCGACACAGTCGAATCAACTAGCTCAACTGGCTCAGAAGAAGCATACGACCTACTCTGAGATAAAGTAGTGTGGCCAATCGGCAGAGAAACCCTCTGAGGAACCCACTCTGGAAAACTAACGCCTAAGGCTGTCACTAACCGATAAATCAAACAAGCATACGGCAGCCCCACCCATATCCTCGTGACCCTGAAAGCCCGAAGAATCTGCTGGAAAATAAAGGTGGGAAGATCAATAGAGTCGCCATACGACAAGGAGTATAAAAATCGAGCCCTCTCCATAGGCAACGAAGAGGTATGCAACACGGACCATAGATTCGTGCACACAATACTCAACAGAATCTGGTGATCAGTGGGTAGAGATCCAGTGCGCATCGCATCTGGACCACCCTCCAACAGTGTGTTAAACACTGTGGAACGAACTAGAGAGTCCAATGGAAGAGTATCAACACAAAGATGAGGGAATAATCCAGGGATATATAATAGATTGGATAAGACATCAGGTGTAATCCTAACTCTCCTACCCCGAAGAAAAATCCTAAAAGTCAAACCACTAACATCATTGATGGTAGCATAAAACTCTTGAACAAGAAGGCTAGGTGGAGGCGTCAGCTCGACTCGTAAAGGCTCCCATCCATGGGAAGTGAAAATAGCAGCGAGGTCGGGTGACAAGTCAGACAGAATGACCTCGCACTCAAATAATACAGGACGTAATGAAAACTGTGACCCAAAAGTATCTTGGGCAATCGCAGAGACAAACCTAGACCTACTGTAAGAAGTCAATGTACCGATGTTGAAACTACAGTCCGAGCTCTCTTAGGCAGCATCTTTTAAATTCGTGGATTCAATAAAATGACACCTCAATGTAATGATTTGAAGTGTTTAAAGAGTAGGTAAATTACAAATTTGATGTGGGTTGGAGAAATTTGGATGAAATTGAGAGAAGAAAGTAGAAAAAATGCAAAAAAACCCTGAAAAATAACGTTAAAATTCAAAATTACAGCATGTCGCTCGAGCGAGGGTCAAGTGAGAAGCGAGTGAGGGAGCTTCTACTTCAATCGCTCGAGCGTGGCTCAGCGATAAGCCAGCGACAAATCATTTGGCAAAAATAGCACTAAATTTTTGAAAATTAAGAAAAATTGCATTTTTAATGAATTAGCCCCTGGACAATCGGATGAATTAAAAAACGACATGTGCTCACAAGGGAAGCATTATCTATAAAACTTTCCCACATACTCAATCATGTTCAAAACGGAGTAAAGTGTATAATAGACTCACGCGTGTAAAGTGTCACTATGTTTTCGTGAACATGACTCCAAACCTTAAATTTTGAGAAAGGATATGCGAATATCATTGTTAAATAAGGATTTTCCTCATTCATAAAAGTCAAACCCAAACGATTCTTAGGACCTGAAAACGAGCTCAATTTCATAGATATTTTTCTTTTCTCCCCATTAATTCGAGCATATAATTTTTTATGTCACTTTGTCAAATATTGCATCTTATGTGTAGACTCATGTCCATTAAGCGACTACATTGACCCCTACGAGCTTTAGGCGCCAATTGAGTTCAGTCAACTGGTATGGCACCAGATTATGAGAACCCCTTGGGCTTAATTACTCGAGTCAAATAGGTTTCGAACAGAAGTATAAGATGAATCAATCTATGAATTTTTTTTAATTAAACAGTACAGGGAAAAACACCAAGAGCTCAGGACATCTAAATGTAGGTCAATTCACATTCAAGGTCACCTTACCAACATATGACAGCCATCCCAAAACTCACATATGTGGTCCAAACTCACTCACAAGATTATAGTGTGTGAAGTGAAAATGGTACATGAAGAAACTTATACTCAATACTCCACCGTAAACCAAACCAAGTAATGGGAATGACAGTACAGAATAGATAACTTCACACTTGGTCACAAATGCAATGTTTACGAGCACCATAAACTGTCTACAACCCAAATATTTTTTTTTGTTAAATAAAAAATATCAATACCTAAAGAAAATAAATACAAACTGAAATAAAACAAGACACAAATAAGTGAGATTCATGCACGAATGAATAGACTCAATGAACTGCATATGCATGCACATAAGGAACTAATCAAGGAGAACCATGGATACTCTTACCTTTAAGAGAATGATCAATCTTACGACCTTCCAGGTCACTCTTTTTAACCCAAGCTTGCTTAGAAGTAGAAGTGATTTTAATTAACCGAGTCATCATCTCAATTAAGTGGTTAACCTGATTGGCAAGAAAGTTAACCGTGCTCGAGACATCTTGACTTTTACTTCTAGTCACGAGTTTAAAACACCTAGGTCTTATGTGTCCCGGTGCGCCACAATGGTGACAGGTGGGAATAAACCTAGATTCAAACATGTTCGGTGGTTGTTACCGATAAATAGGACGATTGACCCTACGTTGTCTAGTAGGACTCGATTCAAAGATATTCGTGTCCTTGGGTTCAGGATTAACAACATGTCAAGCGTTGTTAGTGGCTGGAACGAACGTGGTCTTGGGTGTACTAGTAGTAGTATTATCATTTTGTACATAACCCAAACCATGCCTATTTCCAGCAGGCTTTTTCATCCCCAGTAGATTATCAAGTTCTTGTGAACCACTTATGAATGATTGGAGTTGAGTGTTAGATTTTTCAAGATCACTTGTTAAGGATTTAATTGTAGCTTCCAAGTTTTCGTTAACAAGCTTCATCTCACTCAGTCTTTTGGTAAAGTCTTGCAGGTCACCTATGAGTCTCTCTCTCTCTCTCTCTCTCTTTCAAGTTCATTTACCGTTTTCAGTATTGTTTTGTTGACCTTTTTAATCTTAAGAGTCTCCTCTAATAGTTCACGATAAGATTCGTGAATATCAGGTTCATCCTCAGATTTCTCA